CTGTTTGAGAGTGGGCTTTGTCCGAAGAGCTACCCACGCTTTAGTAGTTTCGGCGCTTTGCGGAGGACATATCGGACAGTATAGCAGTCACTGCCAAGCGAACTCTCGGGTATCGGAGCCCAGCAGGAGGCTGTTGTCATGGGGGTCGTCCATTTGACCTGTAAGGGGTTAAATGGACGAGCCCATGTCTCTCATGCATTTCCTTGTGACAAATGGGTAGTTTCGTCTCCTTGGGGTCAGTTACGATTGCATTCTGACGAACAGTGAAGCTCTGCAGCCCTTCCACTTGCGAGGAAAAGAGTTGCATGATGCCCGCAAACTGCTAGATTTTCAGATTTGAACATATCTTACTAGAGATGTACTACAGCAGTTTATAACAATGTTTCGGAAGTGTTCTGCCCTGTTGCAGATGTTTCGACAGGTGAGTAAGCAGATGTTTTTACAGCTTAAGAAGTGTTCTCCAAAGTGTTCAGTGGTATCATCGACACAGATACCCATCGATCCCATGGGACGAGCCAAAAGGCTGTTCTACAACAAGTAATTCCCTTACTCCGTCCAGTTACCGACCGTGCTTTGTCAGATAATGGCTTATTTTCGCTCTCTTTCACTCTCTCACTCACTCACTCCTCTCTCTCTTTCTCATATCCTGACATCCACTGAACCACCAAATTAGTTGGTCTAACAAGGTTAAATCAACATTTATTCTTTAGCACTTACGTGTAGTACACGTTACTCATTCCAGTACTCCTGTATTCGGAGCTCGTAGCTTTTATAATCAAGATTTTTCAGATGGTGGAGCCAAGCTCCGACGAATATATTTTAATCTTTTTGATTACAGATTGTTAGTCGAACGCTTTTGTGCCGGCAGATCAACCAAAGTGCACATCGAGCTCGTTTTCATCAGTCCCATTACAAACAGGGAAGACGGTGGAATGACCGGCACGTTCTGTTAGCATTTGTATCTGCAGCAGGATTTTCATTCTCTGAACACGGTTCGTATAGTAGTTTTTCCAAGGAGTCAGGCTATAAATCTCGATTTTGCAGGCATTCCTGATGAACGCTACAATAACAAGGCGTATTTGCATAAGGAATTTGGTGAGTTTTATCAAATTGAAATATAAAAAAGAACCAACAGATATGGGCGCAGTTTGGCTTGGCGGGGCACCAGGAGGTACTGAGCTAAGCTTGCACAGGTCACATTGTGAAAACCTGTAAAGTCATGCAGCCGAAGTTCGCAGGTCTGACCCTGTGGGACCTGTCAGATGACATTAAACAAAAAAAACTAACATTGTGCGAAATGCCGCCTCCAAGCCGAACAGGACTAACGAGTGCATGTTCACCGAGCACAGCTTACCATTTGCAACCAAACCCTTTTCAAACTTCGGGTTAGAATGCAGTTCAGGACGGAATATCGTCCCGAACGTTGTTTGTCTCAGGACAGAAAGATCCTTTTCGTTTTAAAAGAAGACGCCAGGCACCCTCTTCGCGGGGTTGATGCCCTCAAAGCCATATAGGATATTAGAATCGCTGAAAATTTGTCTGCAGGATTAGTTTGATCGCGTGGGAGTT